ATCTGATCATTAATGATTAATTATCTGTAGGTTTTATTAAATCTGGTCTCTAGTCCAGGCCTGATCTGAAGTGAGAAGCTGAATGTTGGATCTCAGTAAAACTGGATCTGACCCGTTAAACAGCTTCTTGTTGCTGACATGAAGTTTATATTTCAAAGCTCGTTTTGGCTTTTATTGAACCTTATTGGTGACGAGCAGCAAACGGACCAGGACTCAGACCAGGACTACATGAGTGACTTTGTTGAGTCTTTCAAACATTTAATAGTTGAAAGACTAAACAAAGAACAACCAGTTGATCTCTAATAGCTGAGAGAATAAATGGAGTAAGAAAATGAAAGTCTGTCTCAGTGAATCATAACCCAGAGGGACTTTCCTGTCCTTCTGCCCCATTTCTGCCCTGGGGTGGGGCTGTTGGTGCTGCACCTCAGGTTGCCATGGCGATACAGCAGATAAGAAGAAATCTGAACCTGTCCGCAGGAAGTTCTCCAATCAAAGAAAATCTAAAATATTTAAAAGAAAACTTTAAATTTAAAACTGTTCAGTTTCATCAGTTTCACAAAACTGACTGCAGTCCAACAACTGAGTCTGATTAAAGGTATTTATGACTCATTTTGTAGCAAACTTTGTGTTATTCTTATATTCATGTTTTATTGTTGTAATTGATGCTTCATTCTGCTTCACTTCCTCAGTTCTTCATGTGAGATTTGAGCCAAGAAATCATTTATAAAACATTTCCTGTTTTAGCAGGAAATGTGCTGCTAACAGCATATTTTAGCAGCATATCTTCAGGGGGGAAGAAATGATGGAATATCTGGGTTCCTCTTTTTTAATCAGTATTATTTTCAGATCTTTGTGTTTGTATGCAAACTACTTTATCCGTTTGTTTGGTTATTAGTCAGTTATTACTTATGACGACAGATGCCAGAAGATACTGAAGCTTTTGTTAAATATTGTTTTATTTAAGTTCATTAGTCAGCTGCTTCCGCCTCACATCGATCTGAAACCGTTTTAAAGCCTTAAATAGATTTAATATAATAAAGATGAAGCTTTACTTCCCGTTATGTTTTCATCTGTTTTCTGTTCTCATAAATCAGCTCAGATTTTAACACCATTTCCGTGTTAGTTTAACTGTGGGCTGCAGCTTCATTGAGTGTCCGAACAGCATGAAGCCCATCGATCATTGATTATTATTATTAACTGATCATTTGAGGTGAATTTGTAGCTGTGGACCTTGACAGGCTCTGTGTTTCCTGCCGTCCACAGTGACAGAAGCGGCGGGTCTCCGCTCCGGTCACTTTACCGAAATCAGCGGATCTCTTGTCAAATAACCTGAAAGTTATTATAGAAAATCAGAAACTCATTACAAATGAGAGATTCCATAAACTATGTTAAAACCTGACGTGTCTCGTTGATAGTGTTTTTTTTTTTCCCCTCTACCGGACATTGTTGGAAAGAAAAGCGCTGATTTCAGGAGCGGAGCGGAGCTGACCTCTGACCGGCCACATGGTCAGGATGACCAGAGAGAACCACTGAGACTAACCGGTACAGACCCGTTAAACGTCCCGCTCACCTTGGCAGTCGGAGGGGCAGATTAAACTCAGAGCCACTAGAAGAGTGAAAACTTTCTCCTTTTCCATTTCCCTTCAGTCGTCTCCGTTGGTTTGAACAGAACAGGCGCTAAAATAACTAAATACTGATAAACTGCTGCTGTTCTCTCTAGAGCTGTCAGAGGTAAAACCTGCCAGGATCCCAGGTGTTTGTCCGGTCAGTGAGGAGGAGCCACCTGCTGCCAGCAGAGCTGAGAGCAAATGACTGGGAGATTCTCTCCATCGTTTATGACCTGAGAGGAGAATCAACAGGGCAGGGCGAGACTGAACACGGAGGAGAGAAACGGACTCTGTTATATATATGTTGGTAGTGAAACACCCCCAGGAGGGGGCGTTTCTACTGAACCACGTGATCAGCTCCATGATTTCCCCTAAAGGTTCAAAGGTTCAGCCTGATACTGAACTCTCTCTCTCTCTCTCAGACATCAGTCCATTCTAACTGCAGCCTTAAAGAAAACGATCCATATGTGAAGATGTTGGTGAATGTTGTGATGAATATATTACAATAAACACTTTAAAAACAGTGTAAAGTTATCATGTATTGTTTTCATGCTAAAGATTCATTGATTAATAATTGATCCAGTTGCTGCCAGAAGGATTTCTGATCAAAACAAACAGATCAGAAACTGAATGAATCAGGATCAAAATCAATGATTATCATATTTATGTTGGAAATTAAAATGTTTTTATCTTAGGTTGTAACTCTGTCTTCACTGAATTTTCTCTCTGCTTTTATACATATTGAATCTGCTTCCTTCGTCCTGTTACTGCTGGTTCACCTGGTTTACCCCCTCGGGGGCAATAAAGCCTCTATTCTATTCTAACTGTAAAGCCATAAAAGGACAGATGACGTTCAGCCTCTTTGTGGATCAACAGCTCCCCCCAGTGGCCAAACATGTTTGCTCTCTTTGAGTCGGACCTTTAATTTGAATGCTGATGAACCTTATTTAATATAATCTACTATAAACAAAGTGATGACGTATCATTATATATTGAAGATCTTCTCAGCCTGAAATCAATGAGAATAAAATAAAATAAATCTAAATCTGAACTGACTGAACTTGAAAACGTCACTGAGTGACGTCATCAGGTGGAACAGAGGACTTCCTGCTCCTTCTGGAGGATTTCGGTTCCTTCAGAGTTTCATCCAGAGGAACATCGACATCCATCAGGGCAGGCAGCTGGAATCAAGCTAACAACCCTCCCACTGAGAGATGACTACATTTCCCATGAGCCTCAGCTGTTCTGATCCACTTCCTGCTGGAACCTGATGGTTCCTCAAGACAAAACAAGATCTTTATGAGTTCATGATTCTTTCATCCTGGCGCAAAGCATTGTGGGAAATAGATTACAGGGGGCGCTGTAGGTGATGGTTGGTTTATTGGAGAATAAATAATCTGTTGATTTCTAATTATTCCAGGGCCTGATGTACTGATGCGCTATAACCCGCAGGGGGCAGTGTGTTTCTTTACGCGTTCTCTGTGGTTACCATGGTGACCATGAAAGGAGATTGATGAGCTGACTGATTTAAATCCATCCATGAAGAGATTTGCGTTAACAGTGAGGCGGGACCTGCAAACTTTAAGGTACAGATTATAAAGTTTTATTTTCACCTCTTTGATTCGCTTTTAGTGTGGATGCAATATTTTATAAAGAAGAGTTCAGAGGAAACATGTTTATTTTTGCCTTATGATTATTGATCTTCACATCAATTTAATCCTGGAGTTTTACTGAAGAATTCACCAATTACCCAAAATCAAACAAAATGTTACTAAAACTGTGAAATGCACAACTTCCTGTTGCATAACATAAATGAAAGTGAAAAGTGAAATAAATCTTTGTATTTTCTCATCTTTGTGCAGTTCAGAAATGGAAGATTATTGTTTCAGACAAAACCAGAGAAAACCAACCTGAGGTTCGTCCACCAATGAAAAGAGAGATGCTGACAGGAAGAGGGCGGGGCTTCAGATGCAGCTGCCATCCAGAGATGAGATGATCTCTGGCTGTCAGAGGGAACCATGAGGGATCCATCTCTGCTCCGTCTGCTCTGTAAGTAGGAACCTGCTGATCCTTAGTTATCATGAATCAGCTTCATTTCATAACTGATGGAGGAAAAATTAAAACGTCTGAACCTGTTTGACTAACAGGATGTGATGCAGAACTCAACAGGAACTGCTGCTTAAAACTGGAGCTGAAACAGCCAGGAAAGTAATATAAATATAAATATAAATATTAACGCTGCTCTAATGGGGCAGGATGTTAGTAGAAATATGTCTTTAAATGTGTCATTTAAAGACATATTTTTAGTTCTTATTTTGTGTGAGGATGTGCGGGTGGCGGTTGGGGGTGGAGGGTGTTAAATAGAAACATCCTGTATTGACCGTTGAAGATAGTTTGAAAAATTTAGAGACAGAAAAACTTTAACTTGTCAGCAGAGGTTAGATTTATTACAGAAACATGTTGAATATGATCAGAAAGGGTTGGAAACCTTCAACAGCATAATAATAATAATAATAATAATAATAATAATAATAATAATAATAATAATAATAATAA